AGTCATGAGGAAGACAATGGGATGAAAGCACCAGGACGTCTCAACCCCCAGCACAGCTCTGCAGCCACCCCACACCCAGTTTCTTAGAAAACTTAGCTTAAAAACCATCCAGAGCAACCAGGTAGCAGCAGATTCACCATCAGCCCTGCTCATGGAATTCAACAAACGTGGCACCAACAGCCATCTGCACAACCCCATCTCCACAGCTGGCTCCTTCTGCAGGGCCATTTACCTGGTTGGGACATTGGATTTTTGGTTCTGGCATTTGTCAGACAAAGAAAAACCTGTGCTTTGGTTCCTGAGGCTCACTTCACACCTCTCCAAGGCACCTGGAAGGCAGCAGCTCTGACCATGCAGCTGCTTCATCCTCTAAGCCAGGACCTTGCCATGTCCTGGGCAGCTTCCTCCACCTCAGTCCCACCTGTTGGCTTGAGGCTACACACACCTACAACACTAGAGCAGCCCGTGGCACCCACTGAAGATTTGGGAAGCACAGGTACATTTACAAGCACTTCAGCAGCTTCTCTGTCAAAAACATTAATTCACCTCCCAAAGACCTGGAGATGTTCTATTACTTATGATGACCATGAAGCCAAGGAGCATCACACCGCAAGACAAGCCTCCAGCTCCTTCCTCTGCACCAACAGGGATTTTTTTCACTTTTTTCTTCCTAGTCCATGTGTGGGGGCCAATATTCAGCTTTTAATTATACATTGAACAACCCCCCAGATTTCTACTGTGGAGATAAAATCCTGTGAAGTAGGATTATGGTCGAAAGGCCAACAGACCCTACAGAATGCTGGCAAAGCCTGTGCCACAAAGAGATCTTAGCCTCTCTTAAGAAGAGATGAATGTGGTTTCTTTTAGCATTCATTTCTGTTCTGGCTAATAAAAGATACTTCAGTCACAACAGCACGAACATCAAGGGTAAGGATGATGAATATCTTCTCACAGGAGGAGCAGCAGCCTCTGGGACCTACCAGCAGCAAGTGGCTGCTTCTCATCAGTCTATTGCACAGTTTTGAAACACAATATTACTCCAATTAAGAGGATCTTGTCAAATAAACACACTCCACAAATCAAAGCCTGTAAGGACTCAGGTCCAGCACTAGGAGAATTGCTAATCTGGGTACTGCTACTTTGGGTGTATTTGGCACAAGGAAGCCAGACACAGACTGTGCAGCCTTCAACCTCCTGGTTGCACCTCTAAGACCAAAACGAGCCAGCTGGAGCCTCTGACAATGCTTTGGCACTCACAGATGAAGGTGTCCAGCAAGTTTTGCTGCCTGAGTAACACCTTAGAAGATCCCCATGTCCTACCACCTCCTCAGGTGATCCATAAAGCAGCCAGAGCAAGCCAGACCACTCATTTCGGGCTCTTCTGCAGGACCAAGATCTTATTCCTCACTGACAAGGAAATTTGAGGGCTGTGGCCTGCAGAAGCTCCACCTGAGGAGTCATTGCCTTAGAGAGGTAACTCACTGGCTGAAGACCAACTGAGACACCCAAGCCATGCAACACCCCCTCCTGCAACAAAACCACAACTGCTCTGTACAAGATGAGTTGGAGCAGGCCCCAAGCTCAGTGCATTGCTTGAGACCTGCAGGGCAGGTAGAAAGGTGGGTTTGGTCATAAGTCTGCTGTCCCTGTATCTTCTCTGACCACATAGGACTTAGGGCTACAGGGATCCTGCCATGCTGCTAGGTGGGGGCACCCCCAGCTCCTTCAGCTCAGCCTGACCCCCTGTAGCAGGGGAAAAAAAAAAGCACTTCCCTACTAAATTGCCCAACACATTCATCCCAAAAAGCACTCGGTGACAACACAGCCACATTTTGGGCCCAACAACCTTACTAGGACAACACTACAGCAGCTCCTGCTCAGAAGGAATTGCACAGAATCCTGCAGCACCTCAGCCAGAGCTGCATTAGGAGCTTGGTCCACACACAGCCTAAGCAGAAACACCCCGAGCACCCTTCTGCCAGGGGAATGCTTTTATTTCTTAGAACAGTGTAACTCAATAAAGACCTTAAAATAATGAGAACACAGAACACACCACTTACCTCAAGTGTTGAAGACCACAACTGTTCCAGGAAGGAGAAGAAACCACCTTTGAAGGACTCCTAGGGCTTGCCTAGAGGGGAGGTGGTTGTGACCATCTTGTTTTTATAGGGGTGGGGCAGATGACAAAACACCAGCAGCTGTGAGCAGCAGGTGAGAGCCCCGTTAGGTCCTGACCAAACCCAAAGATGCCCAGCTGCTCCTGCAAGCCCTGGCAGGGCAATCATTCCTCATTCCCTGGTGGAAGTGCCTTCCAGCCACAGCCACCCCAAGGGGTGCTCCAAGCACCAAATTACAGTCACCCAACAGCCCCCAAGTCCAAGCCTAGTGCTGGGGATTGTATTGGGAAGGCTTCAGATGATCTTGGGAGGGTCCAGTGTGGAGTTCAGCAGCATTAAAGTCCTACAGCTTCTGTAAAAGGTCCTAAGTTTGAATTATTACAGTAAGGTATTAAAGGGGAGAGACGGGACAGAAAAGAATACCTGTTATTTTACTTCATTGCCTCACCATAAAATTCCTTTTATTCCCTTTGAAGCCTTGCTGTCAGCTGAAAGAAAACTCCAGATTTATTCCTGGGGAAGCCTGGAGTAATAAAAAAAGGAAAAATTAAGCAACAAAAAAAAAGAAAAAAGAAGGTCCATCGTGGATTGCACAAGGGAAACTCCAAAGTTAACCCTCAAATTCCAAGCCACAAAATTCCTTTTGCTGATGCAAAGGTGGCACGGAGCCGAAATGGCTCAACCAGCCTTGTTGCCCTGTGAGCACATCCTTGGTGGTATTTCACCCAAAATATGGAAGAAGCTGGTAGGAAGTGGAAAATGATGGCACTGCTGCATTCATGTGTGCATGTGAGGAGGAGGAGGGCAGGGAGGAAGGCAGCAGCCAGGTGAGGATGTGAATACACAACCAGCTAGGTGGCGGTGGGAAATGCCCCAAACATCAAAACGGCCTCTTGACCAACTGTGAAAAGGACACAGTGAGTGATGTAAGTGGTGGGGCAGGAAACACCAAATCTGATCCAAAGGGGATAGAAAGAAATCCTGCAAAGCTCTTGAAAGTTGGCTTTAGACTCTAGTGACACCATCTGACACCGTTCCCTGACAACAGTGCCTGTAGCACAAACAGAAAGAACAATGTCAACTCTTTCTGCTGATGCTGCATGAACCCAGCCAATGTGATCCCCACTGACTAGCAAGCATGGTTATAATTTGAAAAATGACTTGGGAGGTGTCCCTGGGACATCCCCTGCTCGTGCCTCTCCCCGACGTCCACCCCAGGTCTGTGAGCTTCCCTGGTGGGACGCAGTCCCCTGGTGGGATGTGGTCCCCACCTTCCTCATCTTCACTCAAAAGAAATAGAAATACAAAGTGCAGTTGCCAAAATGTGTGACCCTGACATACATCAGGAGGGATTTTTAACAGTAAGTTTACATCCTGTTGCAGGCTCTGAGTTTTGAGCCACCAAGGAGGTCCCACCGCGTGTTTTTCTCCGCAGATGTGGAGGCTCCAAAAACATCCCCTGGAACACTGAAAGCTGAGGTGCTTCTGGACTCCAGTCTGGGCCCTGATGAAAATTGAGTATTTGGGGGTGTGTAATACAACTCTAAGCCTTGGCACCACTGGTCACGGGCAATAAATAACTTCACTAACCAAGCCAGGCCAGAGCACGTCCAACCTGCCCATGCAGGCGCACGGAGCTGCAGCGCTCACGGCAACCAAGCTCAACAGAAGGCACCAAAGGGCCTGATTTTATCTCCCAGCTACAGGGAGCGTAAATCAGCCCAGACAGGCTCATCTGACCAGGCCTTCTGGCTGCAACTGCTCCTCAGAGCAAATTCTTCCCCAGCAATGCTCTATCGGGTTATTGCCTGGATGGCAGACTGAGAGATCTACAGGACCAGCGTGCACAGAACTAACCCAACTCCCCTCTGCCTGGAGAGCTTCCCAAAACGCAGGCTACAGGGTCTCCAGCTAAGGATCCACCCAACCGCGAGTTGTCCAAAACCATCACCAAACACGTCTGGGAGATACCAGACTCACAGACAACCCCCGTGCCAAGGCTGGCAATGCCAACTGGTCCTGCTGGGGCAGCTTTTAGGGCCATGGTGTGTTCTGCTCTTCCCAGCAGCACCGACACCCATCAGTCTGTAGAAACCTGAACGTGCACACTCATCCTCACCATGTCCCCATCATGTTTTGTGGTAGCAGAGAGCTCACAGAGCCCTGAGCAATAACAGCTATGGGTGACCTTCACCTTCTCTGTCTGCTCCCTTGGCTCTCAACCTGTCCTCGTTTACCCTCCTCTTGGAGACAACTGCAGAAACCCATTTGTTGGTTTTCTAAGTGTCCTGGCTGAGCTGGGAGACAGTGGCCTCCCCTCTGGAAACTCCCCCTGACTGCAGAGCCACTGCTGTGGACTTCAGCCAGGGGCGGGGGGGAAAAAAAGACAATTAAACCCCCCCCTATAATGCGAATACTTTATTATCAATGAGTGACTGGTATTAGCTTTTTGTCTGGGTATTAATAATATTTCAAAAAAACCATACATCAAAATTAGGGCTTTCTCCTATTTTTGCTG